CAGCTCTTCTGCTAAAATATCTTCCTCCCCATTCCTGAGGGCTTCACTGTGCTGCCCTGTTTAGTGGTGGGCAACCCATGAAAAGATAAACATCTCAGCTAGCTTCTCTCCATATTGCACATGAGCAACACACCCCATTAATTCCTACCTGGAACAAGTAGAGCTGAGGCGCTAGATTCAGATTGTAAGGAGATAGGTTTTTCGTGATAAAGCACAATGGCTCTGAAGGGGCTGCTCTCAACAAATGTGGGACATTTCCCAGAAAAGGGCTGGGAATTTTAGATCTACATGCATAAAGTCTAATAAAAGCACCAAACAGTTGGAGAGTCCAAACATTTTTATTATAGTATTGCTGCACAAATGACAATGTGGACACAAGCTGACCATTAATTCCTAGGGGTGAGCCATATTTATGGCGGCCTTCAGCTATCAAGCAGAGTAAAGTTCATCCATAGGAATGAATAATGCCATGTATGTGAAGTAGGTAGAAAAGCAGGACATTTTCCTTGCAATTGTTTTGTGGTTCCGGGCAGGGCCACATAATAAAGGTTGAGGGAACAGGGAGGAAGGAGCTGTGGCCAGGGTGTATGGGTACCTCATCAATCGCACATCAATTGGTCCTGAGGTGGGAGAGGGGTCAGTCAACATTGCTGGAATTTCCTGACTAACAGCTACTGTTCTGGGAAGATATAACAATGCTGGGTGTGCACACACTTGCACTCATACAGTGTAAGTATTTGTCCCTACAGTATGTTATTATCTTGAAGGAAAAAAATCTAGCTAGTAGTTCCAATTCTCACATCTATGGCAGCAGGTGGTCGAATGAAGGATGCTTTTTGATTAGTAGGGGGTTACTGTATCCAGAATGATGGCTTTTGATTATTAAGGGTTACTGTACCCAGTGCGTTTTGAACAATGTTATTAAATTCATGTTTCAGTTAATTAAGTGAAAAGCGGCTTTGCTTATAATCAGAGCTATCATTCAACTTTTTATTGTCATTTTGTAGCAATAAACGCTCCATTTTGAAAACTCCTTAATTTTAAGACAAAGAAATCAGCTTAACTCAGTGCGAGGAAAGAGATATTGTCCCTTTAACCCTGCAGAATTCCCCATTTCCCTCTAGTACTTAACATTTTTCACTATGTTGTGACTGCTATTATTCCATTTAACACTAGTTAATCTGTATCAGAGGTATATAGAAACCCTCTTGATGATAGGGTTGGAAAGCTTCCAGAGCTGGCAGGTTCCTAGCGCACACACACACACACACACACATACACGCACACACCACTCCGTGTGTTTTGATTCTAACATCAGCTCCCTGCTATTTGGACTGGCTGCCAACTCGTTCTTGGATAAGCCTCTCGCTCAGCTCCCACAAGGCCTCTGCAGTCTCCTCTCTCTGGGCCTCCTGTGACGGCAGGCAACGGCAGCAGTTGTTAAAGTACATTCCTCCAAGGCCCTCCAGGTCTGGGGAGACCCCGCAGTAGACAGACGTGGCAGCCCCTTGTTGCTGAAACAGAAAAAGAGATGTATCAATTGAATGAAGCTGTGTTAATTGTACACGCAGAAGCAAAGAACATCAGTACATTATTAGCATTAGCATATCTGCTGAGCTTTCAGAAATCAGCGTGTTTGTTTACAGCACAACTTAGGTGTTATCTGTTAAGTCATTGCCTACAGCAGAAGTTCTTAGCCTTACCCCCAAGTGATAAGGGTATGGGACTAGTTTTCTAAATATTGTTCTTTTAACAAAAACATTGTTAGATTAGATTTTTAACCATCAGAGTTATCACTACTGGTTAAGGAGACGAGGCTTCTAACCAATCAGCGATCAGATCACTTAACAGGGATGTCTTCCAACATGTCATTATTGCCAGTTGATATGTTGGATTGCTACCTCTATTTAGGCCTTACACACGCCTTTCTTTTTGTTAAAAGTGGAATCAACCTTGTTGTGTAAAGCTGGCCGTACCCCTATAGATTTTCTGCAGATTTTCTATGGTCAGATGGAAAAAGTGCAACAGATTCCTCCATCTACGCTAAACTGTGTGGATGGAGGAAACTCCCACTGGGCCAAGCTTCAGTATCTTGCTAGTCGGCCCAGCTGGATTTTTAAAATACCTAAACAATGCCTGCATCCAATCAGATTGTTCAGGTATTTTGACAGCCAGCGGGGCCGATTAGCAAGATATTAAGCTTGGCCGGTGGCAGATTTCAACTGAAAATCCATATATACAGTATGTGTAGCAGACAAGGAACATGGTGTATCCTTCCTCTTAATCCTTTGGTTGTCTGTGTAACTAGAACTCCTGCTAACTAGGTCAAAATCTATTCACAGCACATTAGTAAATGGCCGCGACCTCTGCGACCCTGGTAGTTCCGCCACTGGAGCCTGGTGTATAGTTGGATAGTTGCCTAAAGCTTCATCTGGGGGATTTAAGTTGTAATTATGAAGATCTAGTGGTCAAGTTTAAGCTTTCACAGGGCTAAAGACTCCCTTCCAGCCTCACCCCCCACCCCCATCCACTGGCAGCACCCTTACCTGGCAATTGGCTGCACAAGCACCCAGACATGTAGGTGAACCTGTTTCTTTGCCTGCACAGGTTCACTTTAATTTGTGATGACAGAGCTCTATATAACAACATTTAGCAGAAGACACTAACTTGTCATCCTTGGAAGGTAACATGGGCTGTTCCCATCGAACAATACAGGAATAATATGTAATTAATATAAAATGTTACCATGCTATAAATTATGATATACATCACACTCAACATATACCAAACAGTCAAGCCCTGTGAATGCACCTATAGTACTACTGGAATCACCTCAATCTATTCTGCAACTGAACAACACAAATCCACATTTATTTCTACTGCTGTAGCAATCAGGCTTCTCGAAGCGATCATCTCTCCTCCTTCCCAGAAATCAATTGCAGGCTCTTATTTAAAAGTACGATGTTGAACATCATTCCTTTGAAGGATGGACTCTGCCTCTTCAAAATCACAGCCCGCTATTGCCAAGGAGCAATATCTTCTGACACATCTGATATAAAAAAATATGGCTGAGAATTAACCCAGGCACTCCAATTAAGCCCATCATGGAAAGTGCAATTGGGCCGCGAGCCAAACACTGTCCATACATTTCTGGTCAGGAGTATTTCACGCTGGGAGTATTAGTGTTTAAAGAGATCTCCCCCATACATTGCAGGTGTGCCAGGCAAAGAGTTAACCCTGGTGTTGCCACATATCTTTTCCCAACGTTGAGCATGCTTTCAGAAATTAATAGCACATCAAGAAAATGTAATTCACAACTACACATTTGATCATTTTTGCACATTTGATTGTTCCTCTGCTAGATTTATATAATCTGTCTGTAAAAAATATGTATCAAGAGCTATATTTGCAAAATGCACTAAATTAATTATAGGGATATCTGTCAGGGTACATCAGTCAACAGTCATAGTACAGCTATTGCCCAGACCGCTGCACGCTATGCGTGAAATCATCGCGTTGCCGCTCGTACTGCACATGTGCGAAGACGTGAACGTTCGCGCGCAAAAACGTGCACACGCATGTAACGTGCACACGCATTTCCTTGGCACCAGGCGGGCTATTTAAAGATGGCTCCTGCATCTGCACTTTGTTGAGAGATCTTCAGCTGTACCTGCCTCTGTGTTTCTGCTCCTGATATCTGTTTGGCCCAGCTTGACTCTTGCCTGCTTGCTGCCTGCCTTGTGACCTCGGCTCGTCCCTGACCATTCTCCTGCCTCCTGATTCGGTACCACTCTGCTAATTTGGTGTATGACCCAGGCCTGTTCCTGACTCTGCTTCTGCCGCATGCTTCTGTATCACGCTGACCGCACGTTACCGATCTGGCTTGTCCCTGACTACGTCTCAGACTCTCACACCTGTGTCGTCTGGCCTGCCATCGACCACCAGCTGCATCTGGAGTCCGCATCGGCACATCCAGTGTGCCCAGCAGTCATACCAGCCACAGGCACTCGTGTCCTTCTCTGTCTGTATAACTACTGTTCCATCTCCAGTAGAGCACAGACGAGAGCAGCAAGGGAAGGCCTTCCTCATCACTTCAGGCTCATACCAAGATACGTGACAATATCTGTCCATCAACTTTATCTCTGTGTGGCTTTTCATTTCTGCTCCATGACCATTGATGCAGTGGAATGCATTGTGGGATTTCAAGCGCAACTTAGTTGTTTTTGAGGAGATAATTTTTGTTCCAGGAATATCTACACACTAGGAATGCAAAGATATTTGTTCAGATACAAGTGCCTATACTTGGCATTTTCACAAGAACTACCCGGGTTGCAACGGTTGCAGCTGTGACCTGGCTCTGGCGCTCCACCACTGTCCTGAAATCATTAGTCTGTATTGTTTTAGAAAAACTGTCACATGACAATAAACAAATAGGTCTCATTAATTGGTATCTGTGATGGCAAGTATTGGTACTTATGCTTGGTCTTGAAAAAATGGTATCGGTGCATCCCTTGAGGGGCCGCTTAGCCAATGCTCCCTAAAAATGACAGCTGCCTCCTAACTTTTGAGTTTTTCTCTGGTATAGTAGCTGTAAAAGTATCTGTACTTGTACCAAGTACAGTACTTGGCATCTGTGCATCCCTAGAACACACAGATTTTTGGCATGTTATAGGTGACATTCTGGTGCAGTTCATTTAGGCCTTTTCCATGTGCTGCCATTCATCACTATGGTGGTTGCATTTTTCTGGAAGTGCACCACACACGCAGCAAGTGGGATCTTTTTTATAATTCACTATTCAAAAATGCATTCCAATCCATTCTCATTTTTCTATTGCAACAACATGCGCTAAATTGCATGGCTCTGTGCACAATTTTGCATGCCAAAACACTGGGTACAAAGTACACAACGTTTTGGTGCATTAGTTTAAAAAAAAGCTGCACATACTTCTTTGGTACAATTTTGGCACATACAGTATGGCTGCCAATTCAAATAAATGAGATGACGTGTGAGCATTCTCCAATTGAGCTCACGTTCCAGTTCAGCTATGTTGTCCTAGATTGTTCACTTCTCCTGCCTTCTCCAAACTCTTCACGCTTTAGTGAATAACCCTGTAAGTGATGCCACCACTATGATGCTCACTGTTTATCTTGCTGGAGAGGAAGCTGTATTTGAGGACCTGCCATACAAGAATCTCCCTGCTTTTGATTTATCTAAACCAGATTTTAACTACAAACCTCAGGCAAATTTTTTACTATTCCAGCAATGAATACGGTCAGTTGATACTAGGGGGTGACAATAGCGGATCTGGTGCCTACCTACAATATGACCACTTATCGAATAAAAAAATGTACCAAAATTTCTACACCAAAAACAACTGATCCACATGAATTTGTAAAAACACCTTAAAGGCAAAGAAAATACACAGTTGTGACATGCTTTCTCCTGACTTCAAAAGCAATGCATAGCATTACCGGGCAAACCCACCCAAAAGTGGAATTTCAGTTCAAGGAGATGCCTGGGTTAGCTCCTAGCCTCCTCTATGTCTCCCTGCCATAATTTCCAATGCACCAGAGAGCCACAGCAGACCCAGGAACACAAGTGCAGAGATCTCACCTACAAAGTCTGAAGATATCAGGAAGTTTAAGTTCACCTATGAGTCAGTATCTGTGTTACGTCAGTGAGTGCTCTGTCCAGTTCATGCCCCATTCACACCTGAGCATTTTGTTGCATGTTTCCCAAAGTGCAAAAAACACTCAACCTCAAGAACTCTATCATATAATGGCGCTCATTCACACATGTGAGTTGTATCGCCTGTGGCTTGTAGCTTGAAGCCTAAAAAAGTACACAGGCTTCCTTTTGAGCAGAATTGCATGTTTGTGGCCCCAGAGGCTTCAAAGAGAGTGCATGAATACCATGAGTACCATGCGGGTCAATGCATGTTTTTTGTGCGATTTCACCCCCAACTGTCTCCACCTAGTAACTGAAACAAAAATGCTCAAGCTTGAAAATGCCGAAAAGCACCTGAATGAACAATAAAAAAAATGCTTCAAAGTAGCTTGAAAACGCTCACCCTCAAGTTTGAATGAGGGCTAAGAGTGTTCTTTGGTATGGGAAGGCCTACAGCGTAATGCTAGGTATGGTCTAATGTGGTCCAAACACTGTCAATGCAACTGCCTCCATACATACTATCAGATCTAACTATTGGGGAGGGGGGTGGCTTGAAGGGGTGCTCATCAGAAGTTGGAAATGTGCCAGAAGACCCTCCTTTCAAGGTGTATCCAAAACACCCCTACTATACTTCACACAAACACTTTGCTATTGCCATTAATTAAATATAATTAATTTACAGTCCTCTGCACCCACTGGATCAAATTCTGCACAATTCTGGCACAGCTCAATCAAAAATTTCAAGTCTGCATCTATTTTTTTTTTTGTATTTGCTACTGTTTACATTTATTGAGTTACTGGTTTCCGAATCATTTGTGAAGCCACCGTTCACATTAATGCAATTTG